AATGCTTAAAGCAGGAATCTTCCTATTATGATTTATTATTTATTTTTTGTTTTTTTTATGACACTTTGTTAAATACTATAACATAAGAAATAAAGAAATATTACTCTATTATATTTACTCTCTATCTTATATGATGCATTTGTTATCCCTGTTTTTCATTTGAATATTCATGTCTACATTTTTCTCTGTATTATGGTGGGTTCAATAGCAGATGGAAAACCCATTAAATTTTTATGTATAGATGAGTTCCTGTAAAGTACATACATATTTTAGTACATAGAAATATTAATATGAATACATAAAATATATTTAAAAATTTAATAAATATTTGAAGTTAAGAAAATAACAATGATTCAAAATGTTTTTTGAATATATTCAAAATATTAATTCGATAGTTAGATTCATATTTAGTGCATAAGTGAATATGATTTTTGGAAGTTGGAACCCACCATATTGAATTCACATCAGTACAGTATTAAAGACAAATTTCCTTATAATTAACCAATGGTTATAACTAAAAACTACTCTGAATTATTAAACACTCTTTCAAACAACACCTATTTCTCGAAGTTATGTTATTATCAGTTTAATGTGTACCAGAATACTATTTTATATCTCAAAATTATTATAGATTCAAAAAAAATAATACTCACCTAATTTTTTCAAAACATTATAATGATCTGCATCCATGGTTCATGGTTGCCAACTTAGAGAAATGAATTTCATACATTTATTTAATTTCTGTAAGAAATATGTTCCTTACACTTCTCATTGTTATTTTCAATAAAATAGTATTTTTCATTATCAATTATTTTTGTTTGACAATATTTGAATATTTTGTTTTTGTTTTGCTGTTTAAATAGTTATAAGTGTCTCAACATCCCCCACAATATTTGTTCAAATATTCGACAGATCCATGTCGCTGGCCGGGCACCTATGGCCATATTTATTACATAATTTGTACCAATTTGTATCTCAAAAATTAGAATTAGCACCCCTCAGGGACAGGAGATATAAAGCTCGTAAAAGGGCTGGGTCAGGGACATAGTCAAATGACATATCGATTTTCGAGTTGAAACTTATGATATATCTCCGGTTCCTGAGGGGAACTAATTCTAATTTTTGGTGTACAAATTAGTACAAATTGGGCAATAAATATTGACGTAAGTTTCAACTCGGAAATCAATATGTCATTTGACCATGTCCCTGGCCCGGCACTTTTATGAGCTTTATATCTCCGGTCCCTGAGGGGTACTAATTTTCTTTTTGAGGTACAAATTAGGTACTAAATATTGGCATAGGTTTCAAATCGAAATTTCATATGTGCCGGGCCAACGACATGGACCTTATATCTCCGGTTCCTGAGGAGTACTAATTATAATTTTTGGGGTACAAATTATGTACTAAATATTGGAATAAGTTTCAACTCGAAAATCCATTGGTGTCGGCCAGGGAGATGGAACTTCCGGTCCCGGCACTCTTGTGAGCTTTATATCTCCGGTTCCTGAGGGGTACTAATTCTAATTTTTGGGGTACAAATTATGTTCTAAATATCGGCATAAGTTACAACTCTAATTTCCATAGGTACCGGGCCAGGGACATGGGACTTCCGGTTCCGTCATTCTTTCGAGCTTTATATCTCCGGTCCCTGACGGGTACTAATTCTAATTTTTGAGATACAAATTATGTACTAAATATGGGCATAAGTTTCAACTCGAAATTCCATAGGTGCCAGGCCATCATGTCCCTGGCCCGACACTTTTACGAGCGTTATATCTCCGGTTCCTGAGGGGTACTAATTCTAATTTTTGAGGTACAAATTAGTACAAATTAGGTACTAATTATTGGCATAGGTTTCAACTCGGAATGCCATAGGTGCCGGGCCAGCGACATGGACCTCGAATATTCTCCTATTTTGGGCTCTATCCTGTTTAGTAAGGCCTTAGAAAAGATTTTGTAGGCAACTGATAGTAGAGCGATCCCCCTGTAGTTGTCTACCTCGGTTTTCACGCCTTTTTTGTGAAGAGGACGGATTAGGGCGATTTTCCATTCTCCTAGTATTTTATCTTGTTCCCAGACGTCCGTTAGTAGTTTTGTGACTTTTCTTCTGAACACCTCACTGGCATTTTTCCACATTTCTGCCATCCTCACCAGAAGCCTTGTGGGTTTTTTAGCCCCTCAATGATTTCATCAATTTCTTCCTCAACCGGTGGATCCGAGTCGATGTTTTGTGGAGTATTTTCTCTTATCTCCAGTTTCTCACTAGATTCCTCACAATTTAGAAGTTTCTCGAAGTAATTCGCCAGAATCACGCAGTTCTCCTCGTCCGTCCGTGCCAGGGTACCCAGGCAACTATCTCTTCTCCTCAGCACAAGTTCTCTGGGGTGGAATCCCTTCATTCTTCCCTCAAAGGCTTTGTGATTGGTATTATTCTTCTTGAAGTTTTCCTCCATTTCAGCTAGTTGCAGACTGAGGAACTTTCTCTTTGTTTCTCTTATTATTTTTTGTTTCGTTTTCCTCTGCATTTGGAATTTCTCTCTTTTCTCTGGTGTTTTTGTTGGTTCCATTGCTTCTATTTTTCCAGTCCCGTTTCAATGGCGTTTTGGCACTCTAAGTTCCACCATTGATGTTTCTTGTGGATTTCTTCAGGAGCGACTTCTATTGCGGTTTTTGTCAGAAAATTTGTCACTTCATCCCAGTTACTCGGTTCTCCGAGCTTCACATCGAATTCCTGTTTCTTCTCTCTCAAGACTTCTCTGTTGATGCTATTTATTTTGATTCTCCGTCCCGCGTTTTCACAGAGTTTAACCAGTCTAAGACCGTTCTGGTAAGTTCTCTTATGCGCCGGATAGTCCCCTATGATTCCCTTGTATTTCTTTTTCCCGCCCGAGTTGGGCGTTAAAGGATTTTCACATGGTTTGGAGGAATTTTGTTAATTTCGTCTTCTATTTTTTTCTAGAACACTTCCACTTTATCTGGGAGTCTGTTATTATCGTCATTAATAGGTGCGTGCACGTTGATTAACGTGTCTTTTTTATTAGTGGGTTTTAAGGTGTGAATAGATAATCGGCTGCTAACACTTTTAAAATCCACTACGCTTTTGAGAATTTTTTTTTAAAATTAGAAAACCGGTTCCTAATCGGCCCTTTTCGCCAGGTCTTCCTTTCAGGATCTTGAATCCATCCGATTCAAACGCTTCCGCATCCGTAAATCTAGTCTCCTGCAATGTCATCACTGAGATTTCCAGCCTGCGCGATTCCGATGTAAATACTTTTAGTTTTCCGGTCTGCATTAATGAGTTGACATTATACGTGCCGAAATAGTATTTTTTTGTTTTTTATGAATCTTTTCTGTTTAAAACAGCGGTGATCCGATTCACTTCCTCTAGACTTCACACTGTCGGGTCCCCAGAGTCCGAATGCTCGACTATTTCACCTGGGATAGTATTTTTCATGAGAAGCCTGTTCATAGTATTTTATGGGTATATTGGGTCGTTTTTACCCGACCAAGTTACAACTGAGATTGTTAATCTCAAAGGGTTTCGTTTTAGTTCACCAAGTCCTATCTTTAATCAGACTAGGTTATCCAGCCGCACCACGTGAAGGCACGTACCCAAAACTTGAGATGAATGTTTAAGAAAAGTTTTGGGCCATAGCGGCCATATGTATATCCTGAAGGTACTCAGTATTTCAAAGGTACTGAGTCCAATAGTAAATCCAGAAAAATCTCCAGAAATCTCAAAATAAGGTTGTACAACGCCGTGATTAAGCCAGTTCTGCTGTACGGCTGTGAAATCTGGACTCTAACCGGCACATTAGAAGCCAGAATTGAGAGATTCGAAAGAAAAGTTATGCGTAGGATAACAGGACATATATGGGACCAGAACCTTGACACATAGAGGAGAAGGAACAATAAAGAACCGTTGAAAGAAACGGGTCAGTCAATATCTCATGACATGAAGGCAAGGAGGTTAAGATGGATAGGGCATGTAGCTCGTAGTAATCCATCAGGACGCCTGTAAACAACAATGAATGCCAGAGTAGTAGGCAAGAGACCACGTGGGAGACCAAAAACCAGATGGATAGATAGCATAAACAAAGATACGGCTGAGCTTCATGCCGCAAACTGGAAATCAGTAGCCCAAGATAGGCAGAGGTGGAGAAGGCTGGTTCAGGCGGCCAAAGATCTACATGGTATGTAGAGCCAACTGAAAAAAAAAAAAAAGAAAAAAAAAATATATATATGTAAATTTCAAACGACTAAAGTTATCCAGTGGGCAAGCAGAACTTAGGTGTCTGAATCAGTACAGGGTTTTTAATTGGCCAGCCCCCAGGGCCGCTACAAACCCTAGACGAGTACAGACTCGTGCGGTCCGGTTCCAAGAGATTCGTCCCATCCTAAAACTGTACAGTCCTGATCGGAACAATAACCGAAAATAACTGATCTCTTTGATGAAATGTGAATGAAAATTAGATACCTACTGTTTTATCCTTAGAATTTTCATTTTCTACTTTTGTGTAATCAAATGATTTCTATGATGATGCTGCACTCGAAGAATTCGAAAAAAACAATATCCACAAGTTTAATAATAACAAAACTGGCTAACTTTGGGATGGAAGTGTACTGATTACATGTCAACTGTTATTTTTGAAAAGCAGCTGATTGTAACTCATGTGAATACCTTTCTAATGTCTGAGTGTTCTTACTGGATCAGAAAAAAATTCTACTCTCACAAACTAATGTTCTTCCCGAAGACAATTTCTTTCATTTTTTTGTACAATATATTACTTTATATGATGATATATAATATGTTTGTATAATGTATTTATACTTCATATGGTTAATGGGAGAGAAGGGATGCATATGTGTGATATGCCACCACTGCAAAATCTGGTAGCCGAAAGGCATGGTATGGGTGATAAATAAATCTACCATAACACCTCCGTTTTCGTAGATAACTGTCCTTGCAACATTCATTAGTGATTTTCTTATTCTTCTATGGACACATAGAGAAACCTGCGGTAGTCAGCTGTTTTTGTGTGACCTGTTGCTTGATCTGTATTTGAATACGATTAGACAATAGTGTTTTGATTCAAATAGGTATTAGGAAAACAGAAGCGTGTTTATTCATAGTAATAAGGACAGATTAAAAAAAATATATATTATTTTACTAGTTTTACTTGGCGTAGGTAATAAACAGAATGGTTGTTGTCCATTTAGATGTATTTAATGCCCTACAACCATTTTTGTTAACTGTACCCTATTAAAATATAAAAACAGATTAAAAAGTAAAATGGTTTCTTGTAAAACTCTTAGTTTGTATTTTTATCTATTGAGCAATAGTTGTTGTTTTGTCTTTTCTATAAAAAGATTTGACATACAAAATGCATCTAGTATTAGTCTAAATCTAGGGCTTATATGGCATTTCCATAGGTTACTTGCCTGAGTTAATTTTGCACAGACATTACATTTTAGTTTAAGGCTAATGCTTATGAAATATTCATAGGACTTCTTATTACTTTGTTTATACAGTGTATGATGTAAACTTGTATCATTACTGAAAGTTTTGATTGAATTGAATCATTGAAAATCTTGAATTGAATCATAAATAAAGCTGTTCTCAATGAAAACATATTGTAGCATGTACTACTCGTTTGGTAAAGATCGTAATCAATAAAATGAGGCAGTATCTATTATATTAAGTTGGGTTGACCTTCTATGTGTAATCAATTATGATAAAGAATATGTCAATTAAGAAGAAGAACAGTAATTAATTCTATTCTTTTAGTTTATGTTTTTTAATATCTTATAATTATATGACAGGAAACTAGAGACTAGGTTTAAGAAAGAATTAAATATTATTTCATGGCATGATATGATTAAAAATCACTTCCTTTAGTTTTGTAAATAGTTTTAAACAAATTATGATGAAAAATTTTGGGCATGCAAATGAGAAGATTAAAGAAGTAAAAGGCTGTACTTTCTATGAGACCCTAGAAAAAACTAAAATGTTATGGTGAAATATTGATGATGAAAAGTATCTCTTTTCTTCTAATATAGCCTCCATACAACATCACAATTGCTACTTCCCTTTTATGAATGAACCAAAATCTCTCGATCATGCTATAAATGGAATTCCACTGTTTATGATATAACCTTCCTTTATTTAAATCCTGATTTACAACTTCTGCAAACTTTCAACTTGCCTTCTTAAGTTAAAATTTGGTTGCTTTCAATTTCTACTCACTCTAAAGGAAAATCATGTCATCAATAGATCCTTTTTAATTGTGGTTGTTGCCCTACTAGATGGTTCAGTCACCTGTCTACATTTGGATATACTTGGCTACTGAGTATGATCATTAGATCTTGTGCTATTCTAATAAAGGGGAGCAGCATTTGTGAAGTAGTACCATAACCTCTACTGCTGTAAACTTCATAAGATATTAAAAACTATTCAATCATTAGTTTTTATGCAATGGGTTTTTTTTTAAATTGATGACAGGGTAATGTCAGCAGTGCTTTATACATTTTAAGTTAAAATGTTTTTGATATGTATTAGTAAAACATTCTTTCGTTAGTTGAAGCCAATGCTGCAAGCTGGTGATGTTAGTGATCATTAGTTCTTGTAATATGACTATCCAAATGGGTATGTGAGGTTAGTTTGATTTTTTTAAATAACTTATCCAACCTCAACCGTGATCAGTGCATTGTACCCCTTTGAAATTTCTATTCTCTATGAAAAGCAAAAAAAAAAGATAGCTGGAGCCCACTAGATGTTCCTTAGGATCATCTCTCTGACCCGCATTATTTTTCATCTTTATAAATGGTTTACCAAAAAATTATCCATCACTTCAATATTAATATGCAGACCATCTACCAATAAATGTTTCCTTGCACACTTCTCACATGCTTGAAAGGTTTCATAAGCTCCAGGATGTCTTTAATAATATTGAATGCTGGGTTTTAGAAAATAAGTTGAATCTGAATCCACCGAAAACTAAGGCTATTATCATAGGTTAAAGATATTCCCTCTTTTTAATGAACCATAGTTCTTAAGCTGTCTTAGCCTTAATATATGGAAGCTCTTCTTCTTTCTTTAAAACCTCTATTGCCAAGTTGAACTTCCATTCTTCTTGAAAACACAATAATAGTTCGTAGAACCGTCATCAGTTTCATATGAGCTTATGTTACAGTTATCCAGTTTCCTTATCTCACCATATAAAATGTTAAAAAGAAAATCTTTACCCAACAATCCATGAAATGTTTAGTACTCTAACAAAACTCTAAGGAAGTAAGTACTGTTTTGCGAGAAAATGATTTGGCCAGGATCGTACTCAACTATCAGGTTTTGCCTTAATCAAGTTTCCTCCCATTTTTTTTTTCTTGATAATCCTATTTCATTTCTGGAATACGGGGAGGGGTAATTGTTCTAGAGGTACAACCAAACCTATTCTAACTAAGGTGGGAAAGTTTAGATTCATTCCATGGGAACCAGTGGCTCGAAATAAATTTTAACCCATCTAGACCAGATTCGAACCAGTAATCAAGTGTACCTACTTACGAGTGATAGAGGCCATGTGGCATCCATGGTGGTCTCTTAAGAATAAGGCCTTATTCATCGGGCTATCTCCACTTCCTACCATATTCATTTAGCTATCCCCTCTCCTCTCCATATTGAATGTTTTTTATACAAATTATTTTAATTTAAAAAATCATTTTCTGGAGTTATATCATCTTCCCAATATTGTCTTAGATCATAGAATCTATTTATTTCAGTTTTATTTTGTGTATTTATTTTAGTTAGTTTCTGTTAAAATTTTGAAATTACAATTACAATTCGACAGCCACACTGCAAAAGTTTATTAGTACAAACACCTTTTGCATATTGACAAATACTGACCAAAAATGTTATTTGAAACATCATATTTTTGTCTTAATTATGCAGTGAAAATCAAAACAGAAATTCTAATTCATAAAATAAAAAATACACGATTTATTTTATCTTTAGAATAATTTTAGTTTTTGCAAATAAATTGTCTTCCAGTGAGGCCGTCGAATTGTTAATACAAAAACTAGCAGGTATAACAAGTAAAAGTGTACATCATTATTTTATTTTATGTAGGGATGATCACTGGTGATGATTACGATTATCTCATAAAATTTCTTTTTCTTGGCGACTCTGGTGTTGGGAAGACTAGTGTCCTGTATCAGTATACTGATGGGCTCTTCAGTTCGAAATTTATTTCTACTGTTGGCATTGATTTTCGAGTTAAAAAAGTGGTAAATAAATGATTCATATTTCCTAATTTTATAATTTGCCATATCTTTGAAATTAGAATTGTTATATATAACTCAAAATAAATAATTAATAATTTAATTATTTTTCATTTAATTCAAATCTTCCAATAACATGTTTATTGTTTTATGAATAATGTTGAGGCTTATAAGATCCACGGTAAAACAAAAAGAATCTGCCTGCAACTATGGGATACCGCTGGACAAGAAAGGTAATTTTATTTATACTTTTGTTTACTCTACAACTTTATCTTTTCTTTTTAACTTATCTTTAAAAATCTTAAGCATGCTTCAGCTTACTGATGGTGCTCTTAGAATCTGGTTGCATTTTAAAGTTCAATCCCATAGGCATTTATTTTGTGTTTATAATTGTAAATTTCTCAACAGGATTTCCTTGTCGACTTAAGAAATCTTAAGCATCTATAGGCCTAAGTAAATTAGTGGTTAATTTACTTCCACAATTTAATTTTATGGGAATAACCAACATTGTTCTCATTTTATTTTTTATAGGTAAAATATCATGTTTAATGTGCAGAAAATAACTACTTGTTAATTATAAGCTGCATTAGCTATAATACATTAAGCGGTTGAAATATATGAGTTAATAAACCATAAAAAAAGGTTTGACCCACTTTTATTTTATGATGTCCGTGTTATACTAACTCGAACACACTTATTTAGTTGTATATTATTTAGGCATGATGTATTCACATTAAATAGACAATGCTTTGCCTACCAATTGCTTTGTGCTGGACTTTATGGAGAATAGGAAAAGATCAGCTGCATTAAAGCAATTTAGAAGTGCTTTTTAGTTTAGCAGTGAAATTTAAACAATAAAATCATTGTCACTTTCTGTATTTTTAATTAAATTATCCAGTAAAACCTCCAAGTATCGGACACTTAAGGGGAATCAAAATTTCTCTGTTTTAAAGAAATTGCAAGCAAAAAATGATTAAAAAAATAAAATAAAAATTATAATTGTATAACATAAAGTTGTATGTATGTAAACGTGAAATAGTATTTCCTCAGAAAATACTAAACCCAAGACACTTCATGGATTTAATTGGTACAGGTTTCTTTCTTTCCTTTGTATATACATAAAAAAAAAAATTAAAATTTTGAAATTCCTAGAATTGTAATTTGTAAATTTTGTTGAAACTTTTTGGTGCTTAACAGCCAGAAGTGGCATTTAATATAATCAATTTTACATATTTTTCTCAAAAATGACTCCAATGATTTTGATAAAATTTATTATATAATTGCAAAATTAAGTTGTATCTAATATTAGCCAGGAGTTTTTCTCATTGAAATATTTTGACATGGCTTACTTGCTGAATTAAAAAAAAAAAAAATGTCTAAGTATTTATTATTTTGTTTATTTAAAATGACTAAGCACTTTACTTTATTACTATGAATAAAAAATCACTAAATATAAACTATGAAAGACTTTGATAATTAACTAAAAGAGAAATAAGGGATGGTATGTAGGATCGAAGACATCCAAGCACGCACCCAAGCTTGGCCAAAAGGTTAGGAAAGGCTTCCAAACGTAACATGTGCTTAATATAACATGGGATCCGATAATACTACTATATACGTATACAACATGGGTGGTTTCCATGAAGCATAACACTGGTTTTATTTAATTATTTACAGTATAGCAATATAAAAATTAAAACTTGTATACATACCAGTTGTTGAGGCCCGAATTATATTTTTATTAATGATAACTATAAGTTATGAATTAACCCAGTTAAACCAATTAATTATAATTATAAGTAAACACAGAGTTATATACGATGGATAGAAAAACAATATTTTCAAGACCAGGGATTTATTACAATGTGTATTGCTGCAATGTATGCGAGCTATCATCATTTATTAGAAAAATAAGAACTGATTATAAATATTTGGGCCCATTTCTTGTTCAGGCATCATGGTGTATAAGTTCATCGATAATTGTTGAAGAGAAATTTTATTTTGATATCTTTTAATTGAAGACCTACAGCATAGAGCCAATCTCACAGGGCCTGGCTGTGTATTTACAAACTCTATACCGACTCAGGCATCCTGTCTGTACTTGTCTAGGTTTTGAGCTGGCCCATTACAAACTCTATTCCAATTCAGACACCTCAGCTCTGTCTGCCCGCTTGGGACAGATTTTATATAATATTAAAATATTATTTATATAATATTAAAATAAGGACAGATATTTAATATTAAAATTAATAATATATTTTATTTTAATAATTTGATTAATATTTTATTTGTTTAAAATTATTTAGTACAAACGCAAAATTGCAAGAGAATTAAGTGCTAAGCATGAATAATTAAAAAAAAAAATTTGCATATACTAAATAGCAATAATAAGTTTTTATTTTATTTTTTGCCTACGCCTACGTAATGCCTGCTTCATCAGCCATGCGTACTCTTGCAGTCCACTATAATTTTGCTCTCCTAGCATAAGGGCTGTCCATTTTACTAAAGGAACATCTTATGTCCTGTAATGCAGGGCATGTATCAAGATGTTCTCCTGTCATCATATCCAAGAATCATAGAGGACTATTTTTTATACTGATGCGGTGGAACTGCTTCTGAAGGAAATCATGTCCTGTGAGCATTCTAAAGCATGCCACGGCTTGCCCTCTAGGGAGGTCTCTAGGGATCCTGCCACTTTCTTCGAGCAATCTACTCCATAGTTTCCCTTCAATCGTTCACACATGTTTCTCTTTCAGTGAACTTTGGAGGGTCTGTTTTATGATTCTTTTTGTTGAATCCATGCCCACAGAAATATCTGGCTGGATCATTCCAGAACCTATTCTGGCCAGTTTGTCAGCTTCATCATTTCCGTGGAGCTCGCAATGGTCTGGTATCCACTGGAAAGCAACTTCTGTCCTATTTTCTTTTAATTGGTTCAAATATAGATGGCATTTAGGGACATTTGGATTCATATTATATCCATTTTGGAGAGACAAAATGGCTACCTGTGAGTCAACAAAGAAAGCAACTTTCTTGTCTTTCCGTTCAATTAATCTCTCAATGCCTAAGAGAATGGCTTTCACTTCCCCTTCAAAGTTTGTGGCTACCTTTCCGATTGGGGCGGCAAGTTGAAACTCCTTTGAATAAACTCCAGCTGTGGCATGTTTGCGTGCTTCCAGTGCGGAGTATATACATATCAGTATATACATGGAGCCATTCTGTCTCTGGGAATCGTTTTCTGATGGTTTCTAGGTTTATAGCCTTTTGTTGGTAAATTGGTGTTGAATCCTTAGAAACATTCTGAAGAAGATCACAGTGAACAACAAATTAACTGGTGAATGGAACTTGTGTCAATGACGGGAGAGGCTCCCTTTCAGCTAATTCTAGTCCTTTTCTTTGTATCAAACCTTCCACTGCCTTAGTAAAAGTAATTTGTGTTTTAAGGCGTTCAGGTGCGGGTTCATAGGTACTCCAGTAGCTGATCTTAAGACCTTTTAGCCTTTCATAGAGCATAATGGCCAGTTACTCCCGGTGTGTCTCAAGAGGTACCATGCCTATTTGTAATTCTAGCGTAGATATTGGAGTTTATCTGCTCCCTCCTGTCACGAGTCTAAGGGTCTGATTCTGGATTATGTCAAGCTTGTGTAATATCGCGTCCGAAGCAGTGATAACAAGTTCTGCAAGAGCCATAACATCCCATGTTGCTCTCCATTTTGAGCCACCTAACCTCTGTATTAACGAAAGTCATGTTGAAGCCTGTTTTATTTGTTTATCAATATGTTTATTCCAAGAGAATCTTTTATCGAGTTTCACTCCAAGATATGTTACTTCTTCAGTGCGTTTGAGCTTCTCATTATTATGGTTCAAAATTATTTCGTGTGATTTGGTAGAGAGGGTAGTAAAAAGTTGGAATTCCGGTTTTTCGGAATTAACGATCATCTCGTTTTCATTAGCTCACTTCTCTAGTAATTTCAGTACCTGTTGCATTTTTGTAAAGTTGCATTCTAGCCCTTTAAAGTCACTACTTGTTGCCCAAATGACGAGGTCATCTGTGTACAGCAGAGCATTTGTACCCGGAATAGTTTCAGTGAGTTCCGTGATATCATCAATCATGATGTTAAACAGGAAGGGACTCAGCACCGAACCTTGTAGGAGGCCTTGTTTTGTTTGGCGATATGTCGAGACAATGTTTTTATATCGCACCCTTATAAGCCTTTGATGTAAGAAAGAAGATATAGTCTTGAGCAGATATCCTGTGACTCCCTTGTCAACAAGCTTACTCACCAGCTTCTTTCTCCAAACTCTATCATATGCCGTCTTAAAATCTACGAATATTGCCAGGGTGCTCTGTATTCTTTGGAAGCCGTTTTTTATTTCTTGTGTTAGACGAGCTACTTGTTCAATAGTGTTTCGATTTTTCTTGAAGTCATCTTGGTTAAAAGATATTAGATCATATTTTTCTACATATTTCTGAAGTCTTTCTGCAACGATTCTCTCGTAGAACTTGGAGAAAGTACTTGTTAATGCAATGGGTCTGAAATTTTCCGGTATATCTCCTTTTTTTCCTCTCTTCAAGATTGGTGCCACTTCTGCTTTCCTCCATTCACACGGAATATGTGTTTTGCAGACAGCATTTAAAAATGTTAGTACTGTTTCTTTGGCCATATCGCCCAGGTGTATAAGAAATTACTAAAGTATGTCATCTGGACCTGCGGTTTTACCTTTCTTAGATTTAGTAAGAGCATCATTTAGTTCTTGCGTTTGGATATCTCCCCAGAATAATGTATAATCTTCTTCACTCATTACACAATAATGTGTGGAGTTTGTGGCTGGATTTCCGTTTTTTTTTTTTGGCTTGTAATTGCTTACTTCTGAGTAGTGTTTGCAGGAGTTGGCTATTTCTTTTAGCTTGCTTATTGTTTTCCCATTGAAAGTTATTGGATGGTTTACTAAGTTTGATTTATTATTTATTTTTGAAAGAAATTCATGTGCCTTAACTCCATCTTAAGTCCATTTTCTCTAGGAATGTTCTAAATGAGTTTTGTTTAGCTGAAATAATGTTTCTTTTAAATATAGCTGTTTTCCTTTTATTTAAGTATAAACTTATAATTGCATGATTTTTGGAACTCACTGCTCTTTTTATAAAATCATCTCTTTCTTCTTTTAGCTTTTGCAGTTCTTCATTCAGAAAAGACGATATTTTCGTATTGTTCCTCAGGGGATAGTCTTAAGG